TAGTAGAGATGGGGTTTCACCGTGTTGACCAGGATGGTCTCGATCTCTTGACCTCGTGATCCACCCGCCTCGGCCTCCCAAAGTGCTGGGATTACAGGCGTGAGCCACCGCGCCCGGCGACTTCTACCCATTCTTAACTGGAAATTTGGAGGGATAAATTTAACTCCATTTTATCCTGTATTTTCCAGGCTAACTCAGGTTTATTAGAAGAAGTGAAGCTTGTACTTAGGGAAAGGATATGTCCCAGGAGAGAGGAGCAGGAATGCCAGTAGGAAGGAGCAGATGGGCGAGCAGCTTGGAGGCAGAATGAAGCATGGGACACACTGGGACAGAAGGGTGCAAGCCCAGCAGAGGGGTGAACACCGGCTCCCGGAGAAATGGCATCTCTCAAAGTGACGTTGAAGGGACCAGGATTACAGACATGAATGGTAACAATCCCGACCTCAGGTGAGGAGCAATAGAAACGGATGGTAGAACTGGAAACGAATGTAAGAATCCATCTGCTCCTGAGTGCATGGAACTAAATCAATAAAACCTAACAGAAACCTCCATGGTGAAAACCCCACTTTTAGAATAACAATATAATAAATTCAACCCGGCTTTTATCTTGTGCCTAATTTGGGTGCCAATGTCTGAAAGCACGTGTTAAACTCTATGATAACAAGCAGTAAGGCCCTTAATCTGACCCAAAGAAACAGAACCCAACGTTTTCAGCTGAGTCAAAGATTATAAACTGAAGTATGTCAAAACAAACTTAATGCACATGTCGGAAGAGGTTTTGCTTTTAATACATTCTACGTCCAACTTGGCACTGAAACAGGTTCTCTTGGGACTTGCCCTATTCTTCGTTCCACACTGTGAAGCAAAAAAATCCAGCCACCGCCAGGATCTTCAGGAGAAGGCAGAGGCTGGGGGAGGATGTGGCAGAGAGAGCAGCATGCTCCGCACCGTGGCTCCTACAGGGCCGTTCCAGCAGCTCCACTTGAGGATGCAACACCTGAGCCCATGTCTTCCCAACAAGCAGAGAGCATGCTATTTAAGAGCCACATACCCTGCACAGCCTTTCATCTGGCTGCTCTGAAAGGTCAAGCATGAATCATTTAGCCATTGTTATCTCTGTGTCTGTGGAGGGAGGTGGAGACAGCAGAAAACCACAGACCAGGCCGGGCGGGGTGGCTCATGCCTATAATTCCAGCACTTTGGGAGGTTGAGGCAGGCAGATCACTTGAGGTCAGCAGTTCAAGACCAGCCTTGCCAACATGGTGAAACCCTGTCTCTACTAAAAAATAAAAAAAAAAAAAAATAGCCGAGCATGGTAGCGGGTGCCTGTAGTTCCAGCTACTAGGAACGCTGAGGCAGGAGAATAGCACGAACCTGGGAGGTGGAGGTTGTAGTGAGCCAAGGTTGTGCCACTGCACTCCAGCCTGGATGACAGACTATTTGTCCCACTCTACAAGGTCCAGGCAACAACCAGCCGAGAGATGGAGTGAGTGAAAGGAAACCTGCCCCATATAGGCATAGGGGAAAGGGCAAGAGCTGCCTTCAAAATGGAAATATCAAGTTACTCTAAATTGATCTTGGATAAATTTTGTAATTTTTCAGGGGGATTGTATCTGGTGCGAGGATCTACTAAAGCCTGCTTGTTCAACTGTCCTGGAAGGAGGCTGATTAACCCAGGATGGAAGGTAATTCAGGCTTGTCTTTCTTGTAACTCAAATAATAGACTTTTTTTTTTTTTTGAGACAAGGTCTCACCTGGGTTGCCCAGGCTACAGTGCAGTGGCACCATCTCACCTTACTGCAGCCTCAACCTCCCAAGCTCAGGTGATTCTCCCACTTCAGCCTCCTGAGCAGCTGGACTACAGGCACGTGCCACCAAGCCTGGCTGATTTTTTGTATTTTTGGTAGAGATGGGGTTTTCCATGTTGCCCAGGCTGGTCTCAAAGCTCCTAGACTCAAGCAATCCACCCACTTTGGCCTTCCAAAGTGCTAGGAGCCACCGTGCACAGGTGGGAGCCACCGTGCCTGGGCCAAGGCTTTGAAGGACAAAAGATGATTTCATTTTCACCAGTCAGCCCACCTCCTCACTATCTCTACTCCTCACCGACAGACTTCTAATAGGCTCACTTCTCCAATCCCAATACCTTTCCTAAATGGCATTACCATTCTTCC